ATTTATTTAACATCAAACTTTAAGTCAGAAATTAAATAACTCTTAATAAAAACAAAAGCACCTTTCTCTTCTACAGATGATGTTACCCTAAATTTTGGGATAAAAGATGAATGAGTTACAGAGAAGTGACCTTTTTATGACTATAAAAATTACAGTAAAATGTAGATGAGACCAAATGTAAGCATTCTTAGTCCTTAGCATTTAGTTTACTATAGGACTTAATGTTTGTTCCTTTTTGCTAACTAGCAGGGTTCTTAATTGTGCCACCTAGTTGGGGAAGGAGCCAGCTTACTGGTGTTTTATTTTCGTGAGAACAGCTATTTTTGTCATTTGTGCTATGTCTGAACTTGATAAAAGCGTTATGAGGAAGTACAAAAGTTAACTAATCCCAGATTTTTCATTGTTACCATATTAAATTTGCACTTATCAGTATTGTCATGTTTCTTGTATTTGCACATGGAATTCTAGACTAAAGAGTGTTGTAAACTATGAAAACCATTTTACAAAATAGTCTTATACCTGGCACTTAATACAAGAAACTTTGAAGAATGAGCCTACTTATTTGCAGATTAAAATACACCTCTGTGCAATTCAAAATTGAAGGAGAAAAATAATAGCCCTAGTAAATATTCAACCTGAGGAAGGTTTTAGGTTTGTGTATCATTTGTTTGGAGTAGCTTAAAGTTAAAGAGAAAAGTCAGTTATGAGTCCTAAAATCAATGTAACCTAAAGGTTCTTTTAAGTGTTTAATGATTTAGTAATTAGCATATTGATGAACTTTTGCCACTTGCCTAGGGAAAAAGAACATGATTTAGAACGACGGTATGAGCTGCTGAATCGGGAATTGCGGGCAATGCTAGCCATTGAAGGTAAGAAATGCTGTGGTGTAGTGAGGTATGTGAGGTGTCAATTGTCAAGAGTGTAATAATTAATAATACACTTCTGGTCTCCCTAGGTGTGGTCTGACTAGAGACCTACAGAATTTTCAAATGCCTTAGAATCAAAAAACTTAAGTCATATCAAACCTAAGGACCTTGATTCAGATGGATAATCAGTATGCCTGCTATTAAACACAGAATTGTCTTAATGTTTGTCAGCAAGCTTAAATGTCAATAAAATGAAAAATACAAGGAGTTAAATGATTTAGTTACATTTCACTGTGTGCAATTTAAAGTGTTTTCACTGGGGACGTTTGAGAAATATTTATCATTTTGATTCTTCACATTCAGACTCTAAATTTTACCTTAATATTTAATTGATGTCAACCCTGAAAAATGGCACTATACAGTCTACTATAGTTCTTAAGATTCCACCTCCTATTAAATGATTATTCAGGCAAAGATTGGCATAAGATGTAAATGAAACACTTTCACACTTTTTTCATAAAGGCTTTAAATGAATAATGTACTAATCCTAAGTGTGGTTCATAATATCAGTAAACATCAGCTAGCTTAACTATGGCATATACTAATAAGATTTTTTTTAAATTGTTGGGTGTTTTAGAATGCTGTTCTTATACTTAGTTGAAAATGTTTCATAGTTAAAGATGTCTGTCTGCTTAAAAGCTAATCCTTTGGGCTCTGTAAAATGGACCTTTTGTCTAATCAATGCAAATTGATTTTCCTATTCTATATTGACCTCTTAACCCATTGACTGTCCATGGTAATTTCCTTCTTTACCTGATAAGGTACCTGATCTATAATAAGTCAATTCTAATTAGTTCAAAAACTGGAAATTTAAGTTTGTAAAGGGAAGACAAATGAAACCATATAGTTTTAAAACATTTTAATTAATACTGTTATTAGATAAAATACATGCTATTTATCTAAATAGTATCTTACACATTTATAGAAGTTTTATTTTTTAATTATTTTTTATGGCCTATAATCTCACTTGATAAATGTAACTAACAACACTTACATATCCTCATTTGGAAATCAAACTTATTTTAAAAGGTTTCAGATAGCTAATTTCCTTCAAGTGGCAATCCAAATGTATCAAATTATACCACTGAAAAATGACTAAAATTTGTCAAAATTATTTAAGAAGTTCTGTGAAACTTGTCATTGAAATGAAATGTACCAGTATACTAACTGGTATTTTTCATCTGTATGGAATTTTTGTAGTCATCATAGTTTTTAAGAGATTGTAACGCTAAATAGTGAAAGGTAGGTACAGTGAATACTATTTATATGGCATATATATATGAGTGTGCAATTTAAAATGTATGTTTACATATAGTATGCATAACATATAATTCAGTATATAGTTTATATATAGATTCATTATACTCTACACTCAATACAGAGAATTTAAAAAAAAATTTTGCCCACTCCCTCATGTGCAGTAAATGAAATCATCCCCAAAATACGGCTTGATACAATACAGTTGACTTTTAAGGCAGATATTACTTCTATCCTAAAACCAATATTATTATGAAATACCATCTTAAAAGGAGGGCAGCGACACATATAAAAGATCTCAGTTTTATTGGTGATCCTATCCCTACGTACCAGACCTACAGTCTTAAATAATATAACATTTTTATCTGCCTGCACTTCTTGTACATATGGAAGACCAGTAGAAAGCCGTATTTTTTAAGAGGGGAAAAAAATAACATTTTCTTTTTCAAACTCTGGTTTGTTTTACTTTTACATAATACCATTGTTTAATATGTGGTTGTGCCTTAAATCTCTCAGCCAGTTTCTGATGCTGCTTGAGAGGAAAAAAAAAGAACCGGGGGAGAGAGAACGAGACTTGGAGGAAAGAAGCAGCCTGTTGATTACAAATAAAGACACTTTCTTAGAGAGAGGCCTGTGGCACTAGCCTGGGCATTACAAGAACTGGGCTGACCTTGAGAGACACTGACCATCGAGATGGTCAGTTCTGAGCCAACCCTTAGAATGAACGTGACACACATGCAGTTAGTTCAGTAGTCATTTGGAATGTACAAACACCACAGGAAAACACACAAACAAGCAACACTAGTTGGTTTTGCTTTGCTTTCCTTTGTTTTAAAGTTCATTCCTGTTCTTTCTCACCTCTCCTATGTAGTAGCCATAAGCTGGTTTTTGTACTAAATAAACTAAAATCTTTTCAAATAAATCTGCTGGAACCATTGACCGCGAGAAAAGCACACAATATTAATAGCCACAGCACATTGAAAGGAATAGGAACAGCTTGGTTTGGGAGCAAAATAATTATAATAATATTCACTACATCCATTCTTCTGAGAATCTATACTCACTTCGGCCTGCTTTTTGCCTTTTTTCCCCCTGAGGTGTTTTTCATAGCAGGAGTTTCACTCTACTGAGCTAAGTTGTAGGATCCCTTAAGCTAACAAACATTTTTCAGATACTTTTCCTATAGTTATTTTTGTTCCGGATTATTTAATGCCCCCTCAGGAAAGATAAGTTCATTTCTGTACACATTGGGGTGGGCTTTTAGAAAGTGGTATGTTCATTTTCTGCACAAGAAATGGATCTTCTCTAGGATTTTGTACATCTTGATTTATTCTTGGCTTAGAGTTTGAAGTGGGTGCTCTTCTAAAGGGATTTATGCATAGGTTCACTATTTTTGTAGTTATGGTTTATATGATAAGCTTTTTATATTTAAAATCAATATGTAATCCTGTGGAGGAGCTTATCCCCTAAAACCCCATTTGTAAATCTATTTTAGCTTTGTTGCACAGCACAACCACAGTCTTCCATAGATTGATTAGGTACAGCAGTAGAATCCTATCAAATGGCCTGCTCTGATGATGATGCAAACTCTTTCAGGATTGCTAGTTGACTGGAACTAAAGATAAGACTTGACTGCAATCCCCCAATGTGCTCTTTACAAAACTAGTGTTAATTTTCATCAAAGTGCCGGCTTATTTTTAGTGGCAAGGTGGAAGGTTTACTACAAGAACTTTAGGTCCTTTCTATGAAAGTGTTTATAGGTATTTCTTTTGCTTTTTTTTTCCAAGGTAATTATCAACTTCAGCAAATAAACTGAATCAGGGAATAAATAATTGGCCCTATATATAAAAAAGAGTTTTTTTAAATTAATAAAACAGTTCAGTGCACATGGACATAAACAGAATGTCTTTATTTCAACACTGGCTCAAATGCAGCATCAGAACTTAATCCTGTTTGTTGTGAGAGGATATGGCTTTTGTAGCAAAAGTATACTGGAATCTTTAAATTAATCAGAACGTATGTTGTAGTCTGCCCAACCCAAAGTCGGTGCATCTAGCTAACTGTGACTGGAGTTATAGGTGAATAATACTTTCTTAAAACATGTAAGAGGTAACACATAAACTTACATACAAGTTTTTAAAATATGACATTGTCTAGTTGAAGCTATCTTAAAAAGGAATTTTTTAATTTTTTAATTTAGACTTATGTGACTCTTGATCAGTTTTAAAGGTACTACATTTTTTTAAAAAACCATCAAGATGATTTACTTAATGTCCCAAACTAGCAGTCGGATAATTATGTGTATATAAAAATTTATTCCCATGAAAAGCAAATCCAAAGAAAAAATAGTTTTTCTAATATAAAATGTGCTCACTACACATAGCTAATTTCTCTATAATGACTAATACTTTGTAGGTAGATATTAATATAGTAATAACAGATTTATTATGAAAAATCTTATTCATTTATGCTGGAACATACTAAATTAACGTCAATTAAATTTGAAATGATGAAAAGTACCTTAATACTTACAACTTTAAAATGTTTTTGTTTCAGTTATAGAAAATTGAGCTTAGAAAAAGTTAAGATTTTTAAAATTACTTTATTTCAGGGGTTAAAAATGTTTTCCCTCATATATATATTGTTAAAACCTTATTTTAAAAAATTAAGGAAATCTTGATATTTATGATTATTAATTAAAGCCTTTAAATCACTGGTCAAGTGCAGAGAAAGGATAACTTAGTTAAGAAATTATGTGTCTGTTAAAATTTTATTATTTCAAAAAAATTTATATTTTTCAATTTAACTATAGTTTTTAAGTGTATGGTGGGGAAAATTTTCCAGTTGTAAAACTCTTATCAAAATGTTTTAGAAATAGAGAATTATAAATTAAAGCTTATAATCAGAATGATTTCTTGTCGGAGTGGAAAAATTGGTAGTCATCAAAGTTAACCATCTTAATAATTATAAAATTCAGTTACACATCTTTTATCAATTTAGCATGTTTTTCTCTGAGTTAACATTTCTAGAACTACAGTTACCTGAAATTAGACTAAATGACCTTTAAGATCTTCCCAACCTGAAGAGGTCTATTAATATATCTGTTGTATAGCATGAGACTGATGAAGAACAAGAACTAGATTAGAAAATTGTCCAGCATTCCTGAAACTCAGTAGCATTTTAATGCAAAGAATAAAATTATGATAGATAGGGCTTTTATTCAGTTTTCTTGTTTCATTATTATTTTAAAATTTGGGGGGTTAGAAAAAATACCTTTCCATAGTAATAGTTTCTTTATTCTTCTCCATACTATAGAATATTTCTTTTTATTAAGTACAGTTTTTTTAAAGATTTTTTTTTTTAATGAGAATGCAATGTGACTGTTTGTGTGATGTTTTGTATTGAATGTGGATAATTAATATATGGCATCTTTCATATATATGTATATATGTTTTTTAGCTTATAGTGAGAGGAATAGTGATAAAATTGAATAAACCATTATAGCTTCATGGTACTATTCTAACCTTTATTGCATGGTGCATCTAATTTTTAATTTGTAAATACAAGATAGAATTCCCTGTAGCACCATTTGCTTTCATAAAGCTGCTGAGCAGTTTGCTGTCTTGAATAAATTTTGCTTTGGAGAGGGTAGGGGGGATTTGAACCAGCACATTCTTGTGTGGTTTCTGAAGATTCACATGGTAACCAGCGGTGTGCATTGTTAGGTTTATCTGAATAAGCACCAGCCATGTGAGTTTTAACATGATTGCCCAGGGCAATGGAGAGAAGAGAGAAACCCGAAAGGATTGCACTTCTTTCTGTTTTTTTGGAAAGTGCCTTCGCTGGGGGGAGGGGGCTGCATGAGTCAGTGGCCACGGCTTGCTTTTTTTTTTTTTTTTAAGTTGGTGTCCTGTTTCCCTCTAGGTCCTCATTTGTTCTGCTATCTGCCTCATCATCTACTTCTTCTTTTCATTGTTTACCTTCCTAATGAGGGAGGCGGGGTAGACTGGGGGTTGATTGACAGCTACAAGCCCTTACAGTCTGGCCAGAGAGCAGTTGGCTTTGGTTTCAAAAGTGCTTTAAATGTTCGATTAGGTCCTGTTTTTATTAAACCAAACTGCTGCTCATCTTAAGGAAATTATCAGACCAGCAAAGATTACGAAATATATTCTTGGACCCTAAAACCAAAAAAACTACCCCTGCCCATGGAAAAGAGACACACTGCCCATCGGATTTTCCAACCTTTAACATGAGGTTTCAAAAAGAAGTATGTGATTTTTCCTTTGCAAAAGTGCTTTGATTTGAAATCCCCAGCCAACCTCTCCAAAAGAAAACTGGCTGTGATGCGATCGAGAGCTGCAGTGTAATATTGCAGAGCAAATTTATTTTTTACTTCAAAGAAAAATGCTAATTAGCCGATTCACTACTTTTAAAGTTATTGTGAAGCATATGGCGCCCAGTGTGAGATACATCCAACTGCTGAAATAGAGCGAGGAGGAAATTAGCGAAGAATGGGCTGTATGGGGTGAGCTTGGGGGTGGGGGAGAATAGGTTCTCAAGCAGATTCTCTAGCCTTTTCAGAATGATTTTATCGCCCATCTCTGCTTCCCGCCTCCTCATTTACCCACATCCCCCACCACCAAGCCTCTGCCGACCTCTTCCGGGCCTCCAGCTCTCCCTCCCCCACTTCGGCTGAAATCAGGTGCGCGCCTCCGCCTCCGGCTGGCCACTGGCTCACACCTGGTCCCCTTTTCTGGTTCCAGCTCAGCCATAGCCATCTCCATCTGTGGGAAATTTTAGAAAGCAGGGTTTTAGAGGTGACATTGTTACTATGACTGACAAACTCTCCGCAAAACACCAGCTAGTGGTTCTGTAATATGGTTTGCGGGGAAATAAAAGGAAACTGGAAAAGGCGGGAAGGGGAGGGAGGGGTCTGCAGAGGTCCTGCGGGTGGATCCTGAGCCTCCTGTCCTGTGCAGACTGGCAGAAGACCGAGGCCCAGAAGCGACGTGAGCAACTCCTGCTGGATGAGCTGGTGGCTCTGGTGAACAAGCGCGACGCGCTCGTCAGGGATCTAGACGCACAAGAGAAGCAGTGAGTGGCGGTGGGGTCGGGGTCGAGGCTCTGCCGCCTGCTGAGGGGCCCACAAGTTTTCGGAAACTTCAGTCCAGAGGTCTCTGGTGGGCCGGGAATCCTCCCGCTGGCCCCTTGATGCTCATACTCTCTGGGGCACTGAGTGCGGGGTGAAAAGGGAGTGCCGGTTTGCCCTCAATGAAGAAAAATAATTTTGTTTCCTGTTCGACTTACAGGGCTGAAGAAGAAGATGAGCATTTGGAGCGAACTCTGGAGCAAAACAAAGGCAAGATGGCCAAGAAAGAAGAGAAATGTGTTCTTCAGTAGCAGCCGGACCAGACTCTTTGCCAACATTTTAGTGTTGGGTCCCCAGACCAGAAAAAGTCAGACGTGTTGTTGATTTAAAACTTTTAACATTTTGTTTGGCTGGATTGTACTTATTTACCACCACCACCACCACCACCCTTTTTCCTCCTTTCCAGATAATATACACAGCTTTAAGGATTTTTTGAGTGGGTTAATCATTTCCTTGAAATTATGTGAAATAGATTCACACAGACACCTTATGAGTGATTAATATTGGAAGTGTTCAAGAAACTATTCAAAGAAGAAAAGAACACCTTACTCTCATTTTTTGATGGGAGGAAATTTGAAAACATTTTTTTGTTGTTAATAGCATAATGATGGTGGGAGGGGGGTAAGGGGGACAAGAAAAATGTCATGAATGATTTTTTCCAGTCCTGCCATATGTAACCCTAAATTTTATAGTTAGATCATACTCAATCTACTTATTAAACTGTGTTCTATTTACCAGTGGGATTTTCTGCCATTGTTTTGCATTTCACTGTAAGGATAGTAGAGTTCCTTTCCTCTGCTTTCCTCAGAGGATGGCCCTTTAACATTATTAGTCTGAGAGACAAGTCCTGTGATTTGAAGGTGAGCTGTGAGGATGGGACTAATTGACATGCATCAGTTTACAAAGAGGTCTTATCTTCTGAGAATGCGCCATCTTTTCTTCTGGATAATTATTTATTACATCTAGCTTGTTTCCTACATTTTGTTGGGTCTCAACATTGGCTCAAGAATGCTGTTAATATTTATTCTGTATTGATAAAAAGTCTGTCTTGCCACTATGAGTAAATCTCCCAATTAATATTTTCTTCTCTTGCATAGCACTGTCATTTTTGTGTGTGAAAATGGTTATCTGTTTATTTATTACATACTGAGGTCATATATAAATTTTCAATAAAAGCAGAAACTTTCTTACCTTAAACACTCTGCTATTTCCTTGCAATGAAACCGACACTGGTTTGAAGAGAAGTTTGTGTGTCTGTAAGACTTTTCATGTGGAAAAAAAAATGGTCTCCTTGAATGCAGGGCAGAATACTGGACTATATTTGGAGCTGAATAAGTTTACACCATCCCGGAGGGGTCCTGCTGACACATGAATTCAAATTGAAAAGCAATTAGTCATATTTTCTTAAGCAGTGTAAACTATCATCTTTTGTAAAGGGTCATCTGTTGTTAAAGATTTGAGGAAATTTCTGATTCCACAGCACTGAAAAATATGCTAATATCTTGATGAATTTTCCACATTATTTTCGGTTGCATTCAGCTGAAGAACTATGATTTCTGATAACTGGTTAGTCTGTAGGTGCTGAAGTAAAAAGAAGAGGGTTATGAAGAGGGAGTGGGCACATGCAGGTATGTGTGTGTATGAGATAAGGGAAAAGGAACTTTTAACAAGAAGTTCTGAGCAACAGAAATTGGTGATTTTATGGCAGTTTCCCATCACTGCTCTAGAGAGGTGTTTGAAACAAAGAAGACTCATTCAACAAGTCTGCAGAAAGAGAAAACAGTCCACTAGCATTTATACTTCTGCCTAGGTCACATACACACACGCATGGATACATACATACATGTACGTACACACAAGCATTTATACATACACAAGTTCCGTTCGAAAAGCATGCAGCCGCCTTCAGTGGCCAGTTTTTCAAAATGAACATAGAAACTTGCTACGGTAGTTTCTTCTTGACAAGGATTTTTAAGTTACTGAAAAGTTATTGGAACTCCATGAAATCAGGTATCTGCCCTCTGCATTAGAGCAGGAGAGCAGAGAGAGCGGCCGCTCTCCCGAGCAGCTCCCAGAAGCTGGCTCGCAGCCCCGGGAAGCCCGCGGACAAAATCGCCCACCCAGAGCAGCCTGGGGTTTGGGCGACCAGCATCACCCACTCCGTTGCCGCTGCGTTCTGGGAACCTTCCCTTCCGAGAAGCCCCACAGAGAGGCGGCTCCCCAAGGCGCCCTCGACCTGCCAAGCCTCAGATCTGCTGCCCCTTCTGCCCCAGGCCCGGTTCTCGCGGGGGTTTCCACGTGGGCTGCTTTGTGGCGCCCTCACGCCCCGCTGTGGCGGCTGAGCGCGGACCCAAGGGACTCGCCAGGTCCGGCCCGCGGCGAGGGCGCTGTGTCCGGATTCCGCGCGTTGGGCCCTGAGGCCGCCCCGCGGGAGCGCAGGCGCGAACCCAGCAATTTCAGAGGCCGGGAACCCGAAAGCCCGCGCTGCGGCCAAAGGAGCTGCGGGCTCGGGGGTCGCCGAGGAGGTGGAGCGGTGGCAGCCGGCGGCTGGGACGCAGTCCTTGGCCGGGTTTAGAGCTTCCGCCCCTGGCCAGTATTCCTCGGCCCCCGAGCCAAACCCCTCCCCCTGTCCCAAGTATCCTCCAGAGTCTGGCGCGGCCTCGAGGTCACCTGGATGCTGGATCCGGGTTCCGGGGCCCAGCTCTCACGCCTCCTCCAGGTCAGGCGGGCCTGGGCTGGGTCGGCTCGCCCTCCCCCTACGATACCCCCTCTTCCCCGCCCCGAGAAGGGGCCATTGCCGAAAACAGTCTCGGCTTCTGGCCAAGCATCTCCCACCTGGACAATTGCCTAGCGACGGCCGCGGCAGTCCTCTACACCGCGAACAAGAAACTTTCATCTCCTCTCCTCTCTTCCCCTCTCCTCTCTTTTCCTCTCCTTCCTCTCTCCTTTCTTTTTCTTCTCTTAATCCCGGGATTTTATGGGTAGAGCATTAGGAAAACTCGCCGGCAAGGTGGGATTAGATAAATACTCTTATTAGGGGCGGGGGTGAGGGAATGGGATCGTGCTACTTGATACCTCCCAACTTCTCCGAGACCGTGGCAGCATCTGTACCCGAGAGCGCCGGGCTCCAGCGTGGCGGGCCCTGGGGACCGCCAGAGCACATTCCAGCGCGCACAGCCTCCCCACCTCTCCGAGTCGGGTCTCGGCCCGGCGCCGCAGTTGCAGGCGAAACAGGGCCGGAGGAAGCAGGAGCCGCAGACGTAGCGGGCTCGGAATGGGGCGCGCACCTCAGCCCTGGGGAGCTAACCAGGGCACACGGCGTGCAGGCCCGGGCTGGGGTAGCTCTGCGCTGGGGACGCAGATGCTTGCCAAGGCGCGCCCCAGGACGCCCGCATTCGCTTCCTCCCCAAACTTGTGCGCTCCAGCCTGCGCCTTTTCCCAGAACTGGAGGAGGGGGTGTATTTCGTTTCTTTCTTTGAACCTCTGCACCATCCAGGTTGGGGGGAGGTTCCGAGCCGCGAGCCTCGCCGGCTATACACCCGGCCGGGGCCTGCGCGAGCCTAAGGTGTGTCCCCGCCGGGGTCAGCGCTGCGCTCTGCGCAGTTTCTTTTCCTTGTTAAGCTTTTCTTTCTCGTGTTTTTTTTCCCTTTTCTTTCGTTTCTTTTATTGTTTTCTCTGTGTGTCTTTCTCTCCCTTTTATGAATGGGCCGCGGTGTCTTTGTTCTGGAGAGAAGCGCCCGTGTCGCTGACTTTTGTGAACCAGAGAAGGATCTTGTAAAACCTCCTTTTCTCCTTCACACTCCCCGCTCCCACCCCTCCTCCTTGGCCCCTTTGATTAGATGTTCCCTCATCGTACAAAAAAAAAATGTAATTTCGTTGGTCTGGCGGCCACTTTCTTTGAACATTAGCTCGCTTTCAGTTCCAACTTCAATTAGAAGGAGTTGATTTTGAGAGATCAACAAAAGAACCGACCAAAGCCTTATTAAAGGTCCTAAGAAGATCTCCCGAGTCCTTTGAGAAGCAGTTAAGGAAACAGTGTGCCCTCCATCATATTCTGTTACCGTATTTTATTCGGACTCCAAAGGAAAGTGTCGCTTGGGGGAGGGGGAAGCACTTTGATGAGCGGCGGCCACGGCCCCTTTTCACTCAGCGGGCTCCCCTTCCCTCTGTTCTCGCCCCGCGCCCGGGCCCTGGTGGGTTCCCGACCCCGCAGCCCAGGCAGCGCCGGCGCTCTCCACCACGATTCGCCCGGCAGCTCCATGACTCGTCCTGACCTCACACCTACTCCAGCCCAAACTTTTCACTCCTCCCGTAGGGGTTGAGGGGAACAAAGATGAAGAAAATGGGGTAGGAATTCCTCGAAAGGCTGTAAAGTTGTGCCTAATATTAAGGAGGAGGTGCCATTTAAAACAACTGCCTTGCTTAGTATTGGTCAGAAAACACGTTTTTTTGCGGGGAGGGGTGGTTTGCGCTTTGCCAAGTCCACTCAGGTCGACGTGTTTGCGAAGTTTGTTCGACTGGGAAATGGGCTTCGGCAGTACGAACTATACGGGGAAATCGCCTCAGGGAGGCTCCTTCTGTGGCAGAAGGGACAGAAAGTGAAGGTGGGGGTCTGTGACCACATTTTCCACTGGACTGTCCCTGGTAGAAGGGGACTGTGAAGGAGACAGAGACAGAGTACGAAAGAGAAAGTTTCCTATCGAAATCTTTCGGTTCAGAAGTAGAGTGTGCAAGGAAGAGGGGACGCTGGCCTGCAACATTGCAGAAGAAGAGTTTAAGATTTGCAAACACCCTTTGTGGGGGTTGGGAACCCCTGGAGACGCCGAGCAGCAGGTAAGTGGCGGGGCCGCGCCCTGCGGGTGCTGCTCCCGAGCGCTGGAGTACTTAGGCGCTGAGGCGGGATCTGCGCACCCGGAGCTCGGCAGAATAGCCTGTGCCGGCACGAGCCGCCCGCGGCATCCGTCTGCAGGTGGCGGCACGGTGGAAGACGCTGGGGACCGCGGCGCCGCGCTAGGGGCTGAGGGCCCGCTCTCCTCCAGCCCGCGGCGCCTAAGTCCTCGCGTCCACAACTCGGCCGCCAAGCCCGGTGGCGCGCGGGGAAGCGAGGGAACCGGTTCTCCACTTCGCCTTCTCTCTGCCACTCCCTCCGGGGCGCTGAAAGGGCGAGAGAAGGGCGGGGGCCCCAGGGCGGCCTAGGGACCCGCGTCCCCCTCCGCAGCCAGGACTCGGGCGCAGCGTGAGCCTGCATCGCCCAGCTCTGAGCTGCGTTTGCCTGCCAAACCCTGGAGTTAGCGCGCGACCCGGGCGGGGCGGGGCGGGCTGGCGGGCTGCGCGGGCGGGGTGCAGGGGGAGGGGGAGGGCGGGGGCGCGCAGAGGTAACCCCGGGCTCGGGCTGCCATTGCCCCGCTCCCTGTCACTCAGCCCGCGCGGGGCCGGGGATTGGCAGCCTATCTCCGTTACGCACTCACCTCGCGTTCACATACCCAGGGAGGGCAGTAGAAAGGTGATCAATCTTCATCAGGCTACATTTCCAATCACCTAAACAACCGAGCAAGACAAGCTACTCCGACAAGGTAAATCGCTTGATTTATTTAGTTTGCAAAGTGCCTCTGCAGGACTTCCCCAGCCCCCACCGCCTCCACGTTGTACGGAGAGTGCAGCGGCCACCGCGAGCAGTCCCCCAACTCAGCTCCTCTCACTCCTACCTTTCCCCTGGGGCCCCTCGGCGCGGTCCGAGGCGAGGTAGTGTCTCGGGAGCTTGTAGGGCTTCGCAAACAAAGTGTCTGCAATAAAGTGAAACCTGGAGGGACTCGCACAAAGCCAGTGGAAAGGAAGGAGAAAGGAGGAGGGAAGTTGAGGAAAGAAAGAAATCTGGGGGTCGTAGACAACCACCAGCCCGGCGGGTAAGTCCTGTGCCGCTCTGTTTTGCAGGTTGGCTGCCCGGCGGGTCGGTGAGGGTGCGAGGTAGATGGTGAGCAGCCGCGACAGCTGAGGGCAGGTAAGGAGAAAGCCGCGGGGCCGCTGGGGCTCTGGTAGCGCGCGGACTGCTCTCACCTCTCTCCCCACCGATTAGTCCCCTCTCCTCGGGTCCCGGCAGGTGGGCGGGGCCGGGGAGCGGCGGGGCGCCCCTCCTGGTGCGCGGCGGACCCCGGAGCTCTGTTGCGGCCCTGCGCCCCCGCCTCCTCCGAAGTAACCGAGATGAAGTACTAAGTTTGAAGAAAGTCTTGAAACTCATGTTGCAGCTTAGCAGAATCGCCTCGGCTGTTTCCCTTTCGTCCCCTTCCCTGAAAATTGGGTTCCCCAGCCCAGGCCATGAATCCGGAAGGGTAGGAACAGGACGCTTCTATAGCTCTAACTTCTCTCCCTGAACTCCCTGGCCCTCGCGGCTCTCAGGCCTGCGCTGAGTTCCCACGAAGCGGGATGAAGCGGCAGGTCTCCTGGGACTCCAATCCACTCCCCTAACACCAGCTCCTTACTCCTGAGAGTAAGCCTCAGGTTCGGGGCAACTGGGGAAACCAGGCTGACCTTCCAGTCCAGGTCAGCGCGAGCGACGCCGCGGAGGCCTAGTACTTAGGTCGCCATAGGGTGCCGGGGCCGGGAGTTCAGCTGGTAGGGAAGACAGGGAGCGCACGGGACCTGCTGCCCCCAAGCCTCCCAAACATGCGAGAGCCCTTGGGGAACTGGTCGGGTCACCTTTCAGCCCCTCGCCTGGATCCTATTGTCCGCCACCAGGACCCGCAGAAAGAAGAACCGGCTTTGAGTTGGTGCAGACAGGCCTGAGGCCCGGGATGGGCACCTTTAACCTAGGGCCGCGTCTTAGAACCTCATTGCTACAGAGGCCCCGTCTGCGTCTTCTGACCGCTTCTGCGGCACCTGGGCCCGTAACTGAGGTTGGAGCGTAGTGAAGTTTCGGGTGAGCAATCTTTCCACGACTGAGCACAGAGAGGCCAACTGGAGGAGTGGCTGTGGGCTCTGGGGTCCGCACCTAGCCTTTGAGACCTTTGGAGGGACGTACTCTCATAAGTGGGCCATGCTTCCCAGAGAGGTAATCTCTACCTTTTCGTCTCGATTTCAAAAAGATTTCAAACAAAACGAAACAACCCCTCATCCTTTGGCTAGCCTGCCGCCCAGGGCGCCTAGTGAACGTTTCCTGGTGCATATGGAGCCGGTTCTTACCGCACTAGAATTTGCTTAGACTTGGGACCTTGCACACTCCGCGGTTCAGGCTCTGACCTCCCCAGCGTGGCCCTGCTTTTAACCTCTCCTCGCGACACCCTAGGAGTATATTTGGCCCATTCTAACCCCGAAAAAGAAGTAGTGGAGATCCAGAAAAGTTTGCTTCTCAAACAAGTCTTGGTCTTTGGTCTAAGGCCTTGTAGAGCCGGGCTGACTGCCCTGTGTAGCTTGTAGCCTGTGTCCCCTCCCCATGCAGAGGCTCCCTGCCTCTGGCAAGACTGGGAAGCCGAGATGGTTGAGAATGACTGTTTCCTTGTGTCTCTTGTCTCCATAGGCCGAGTCCACATACGAAACAGCTTGA